CAACATGTCATCGTCGTTGTTTCGCCGACGTCGATATATATGTATACTTCGATGCATACTTCTTAACCAGAACACTTACTAACATCTGCTGGAAGCATAAAAAGAAGCATCTATTTAAAATTAAGCGCATGCTCGATAACAACACCGTTATAAGACACGAAGTATGTTATAACGGTGTTGTTATCGAGCACGCACTTAATTTTAAATATATGCTTCTAACTTCTATACAAAGCTTATTGTTTGTGAATTCTCTATCACAGATAATCTAAGTTGTACTTTCATGACAGAATATGGGAGTCGTAATTCCAAAAAAATGCTGACGGTAGACGCTTTAAAACCGTTAAAATCGGTGTCCTATATAACGCACATATATATTGTTTATTAAGTTTATTAAACATTTATTCTGAAAGTTGAAAATATTTCTAAACTAATTTTTTTCACGAGCTACTTCAAATTAGAAAAACATTAACGTTATACGTCCTAATTTGAAGCAGCCAGAGTTAAATAAGTGCAAGCCCAAAGCACTAGCGATGACGTTATCGGTCGTGAATCGATGCTGTCAAACAAGTGCGATTGTCTTGGAGAAAGTTTAACTCAGAAAAGATTACTTCATTTTGGCAGAAAAACTCCCAGAAAATCTCGTACATTAAAGATCAACATGTCACAATGTATAGTCAATGCATGTTCTGAGATACATTATATGTTCCAAAACAGACAAGGGAAAATAAATGTGGGAACGCCGTCTGAGGCGAAAACCCTCTGTATATCTATACGTACAAGTATAGATACGTTCAGAGGTTAAATTGTACGTCAACATAGAGTTGGTAATGAAATCGTCGTTGCAAAATCTTCACGGATGTTGAAATACACACTTTTTAACAACGGTGAAGCTACGGGTGCTGTTCTTGAAATATGATGATTAAAATATACTATTTTACATTGTATTTAAATTTCAGCAAAGTCTAAAACTTTTTTTTAATCGCAACCTGAAAAAGACTCTTTTTTCGATAAAAGTACGAGTTAAATAGATGATTCATTTCTCAGAAACGGTGAAGCTGGGGTGTCTAAGAACTCTCATATGTTATCCTACATACAATTGTTATCTTCAAAAAATTTTTTCAAGGCGTTCCTGAATTTTTGGATTTTGTGACACTACCCCCTTCAGTATATTAACTTAAAAATTTCAATAAAAAAAAATTATTTTTGGAGGAGTTACACCTAATAAAAAAAAAAGAAATTTAAACAGNAGCCCCCTAGTTTTCTATATCACTTTTTTTTTTTAATTTGCAGAAAAATTCAAGTTGTCAAATAACGCAACTCCTAAAGACGTACGACCAAAAACAAAAAAGTTATTCCATTTGTTTATAAGTTTAAAAAGTACTTCTTCTTCAAAGTCATTTTTGAACAATTAAAAATGATAAAATAGATAAAGCTTAATACATAAATTATAGTAGAGGCTCTTGAGAAGAGAATCCCGTTAGAATTATTATTGCAAAATTATTTTTAAAAACATAACAGCGTTTTTTTGAGAACATCTTCTTATTAAGTAAATGGTTTTTTGCAAAAACTATTGAACCAATCGATTTGAAATTTTAAGGGCTTATTAAAGTAGTTAAGATGCACAATTAGCACTTATTTTAAAATTACACAGCTTCAGAAATTGTTAGTTATTAACAATCGCAAAAAAAAACATTTTTTGACGGTTTTCCCAACTTTGCGAATAAACAAATTAACCGATTTAAAAAAAAATTTGCGGGGTTTTGTAGGTCTTTTTCCAAGGTTTTTATTTATTTTAAACATTTTTCCATAAAGTCGGCAGTTTCTTAGTGATTAAAAAAAAACATGGTTTATCACTTATGTGAATTTTTCAAACATCTTATCAACAATTTTCAGATGTTGCCAAAGACGGATATTCGTTACTCTACCGCTTTAACATAAACTTTGATGACGATTGAAATAACAGAAAAGTTCTTAATACCATCGCAAATTATTAAAATTTTGTCACAGTTCATCATAGATACATTTTTTTATAAATTCGAGTAATCAATTGAGGTGGCTCCAGTGGCCTCAATGTTAAAATTATAAATAACCCAACCAAGGTTAATAAAATTAAATTATATTCTTTGAATTCCCATCTTTCTATTCGTATAAAAAAAAATTAAGGTTGACGATGAAAATTGTAATAAATCATGCTTACAAAATCGTAGTTTTAAGACGGGTTAGATAGGAAATGCAAGCTTACGCGATATACAACCTACTGCTGCATTTACATAAATAACCCGTAAGGTGTAAAAAACATACTATCTTGTATATATTATTACGCAGTTTTTGATGACATGAGAAAAGTGTCTTGTTATCGAACAAAATCTTTAAATAATTGGAGACTAAGTATACAGTTGCGAGTGCAAGTCAGCTCTCAGCTGTCTGCATTCTGCAGAGTACATATATATAGGTATAACTACAGCTGAGCAATGTTGCCACATTCTTGAACTTAGGAGCGTACCGTAACAGTTCATCAATTAGGGCACCATAAAACTTTTTTGTTTTTTTATATCAACTCACTAAAGTAACAGATAAAATGTAGAATATGGCTTACAACAGTCTCTACGATAATTTTATACCATATTTTGAAGAAAATAATGATTAATTTTTAGTCTCCCCATTTTGATATGGCACTAGGCGCTGAAGCCACCTTAACACCTTATTATGCAGACATTCTGCTAACAAATATTTAGCAATTTTAATAGCATGGATAAAAAATAGAAGGAAAACATTTAGCTTAGTATTTCTCACTTTTGCGGAATGGTTCCTTGGTGACGCTTTGTTGTAAAAATTTGTGCATCGTACACATGGGGCAAAACACAAATATTGTATCTTGCATCTAAATGTTTCTATTACAGTGTCCCAATCACAGGAGATAAAAATAGTAGTGGACTGAATTTTCTACACGAAAAAACAGAGACATGTAGTAAGACGGTGCTGCATCCATAGTGTTTCAGTCTACATCAGTGTCGATACTCCCAATACGTTATTACAGTTGACGGAATCCTTAGATTCTGCATCTAGATGTTGGCCAACGACTAAAATAAAATAATTCAAGTAACGGAATGAAACGGGAAAATTACGAATGATAAACTAGAATTGGATTATTTCAGAAACTAGTACACTAAATCTTCCTAATACTTACTGACAACTTTACATGAGCAATTTATGAAAAAGAAACCGAGTATTACAATCTTTAAATTATTAGAGGGTCGACTTTTCTTCAAAAGTCTTCTTGGCGGCTGTAACGTTTCGTTGGTTACTTTTGCTTAGTGTAACCATCCTACATCTTATTTCATAGCCTACAGATAGGAATTACTCGTCGATTTTATGCTGTTATACTACAGACTATTTCACAAAAAGTGAGTAGAGCAGGAAAAAAACTCACGATAAGAAATTAAACTTTTGAAATATCCTACTTTAAAGTACAGTGTAGGAACGGACAAGAAGTATATAATATAAGAAGTACCTTAAATTTTTATGCTTTTTACGGGTTTTTTAAATCATGAAGAGTAATTGTAGACGGGTCAAAATTGTCGGCGTCGTGCTAGATCAATAGCAAAGGAATTTTTTTGCATAAATATGTTCAATAGATCCCACAGATTAAGAAACTTCATGTTGCCACCGCGCAACCTGGTCACAATTTGTTTAAGCTAATTTTTTTTAAACAAATTAGTAAAAGTAATTTTTTCGATTTAAAAAAAATACATCAGCTTCTTTGAGTCATTCTGAACAAAATACCAATTAGGATGTATATACCAAAATCCCACAGTTTTCGAGCAAAAAGATCTGAAAAATGCGAATTTTTCAATTTTCAGAGCGTTTGTGAGGAATGAAAATAAAACAATTTTGGAAGGTACACCACTTAAACATGAAGTGTTAACCTTCCCCTAAAACTCCAAAAAAACGAAAATTGAAAAAAGTAATGGCAACATTGTTTTTTTACAATTGTTCGCGTACGTGTGTATACGCTTATTGAGAGCGTGAAAGAGAGAGACGAAGGCCTCGTGGCATCGCAACGCGGGGGGGTCTCTCCCAAAAGGGCCCCCCTCCCTTAATTGTCGCCGCGTTGTCCAGTCTCTCTAGACAAACCGCGAGCGAGTCAGTTGCAAAAAGAGCGTTAGAACGAGCGTGACTTAAGTACTCGTCTGCTTCGATCGGCATGTTTTTGGTCTTTATCGCACTGACCAAGCGACGCACGCTGGCCAAGGAGAGCCTTTCTCTATCTCCGTCGTCTAAGCACAGTCCATATTTACAATTGATTTAATTATTAGCGTCATTTTTCCGGTCTTCTTTTCTGATTCGCCTTCATCTTCATATTTGCTGTAAAGAAAAAATACAAGTTGTTTCCTATCATCGAAGAGTTCGTGTTGAGCGTTTTATTTTTCCCTACTCTCTACAGGCGTTTGTCAACGATAACGGGTACGTTTCCCCCCCGCGACCTTGATAACGGTCCATCGCGACCTAGAGGCTCGAAACGAAACAGTAGTAGCAGAGCGTGGTTGCCTGTACGAGAGCAGCGGAACTCGACAAACACGATGAAATCTTCGATAACGGAGCTGTGCAGCTAGCCGGGACAGCAGGGCTTCCTGGTGGCATCGCAACGAGCAGCTTCTGTTGTCTACTCGTCTCATCGGCTTCACTACCAGTTTCTCCGAGAGCCATTCTTCGGCTACGATAAGTAGAGCAAACGGAAAAAGGTCTGTGAGTAGACAATTATCTCAACTTGTTCGGCAAATTTCGTTTTTGAAGGCTTCAAGGCCACATTCCGATCGTGCTATATCGAGCGAGTACGCCGATACATCTAGTCGCTTACTAGGAGAGCGTTTGTTTACTAGCGCGCTCGCTTATCTCTGTTATTCGCTGTAGTCGCTTGGCCTCGCAGTGAGCCGCGACTCACAAGCATACTTCTCGAGTCGTTGTTTTGATCACGTTAAACGCTTACGTCTCTAAGCAGCATGGATAAGCTTCACCGATCCCAAACAAAATTGACGACGAATATAACAAATTTCTACGACAACTCGACCGTCAAGGTCGGCGTAGAAAAACAAACTCTGTCACATTTCGAGACGCGGCTAGGTATTCTCGAGAACTATTGGTCAACTTTCATTTCTCGACACGAGGACTTGCTCGAGTACGAAGAGCAGCTAGCCGGCGATAGCTACTTCAAGGACGATGTATACTCGCTAGTTAAGCTGGCGTACAGCGACGCAAAAGCGCGCCTCTTGACGCGAATTTCGGAGCTCAGGGGCCCCGCGCCGTTTCCCGGTCAACTTTCCGCGCCTATTATCAACGCTAATGCTGCGGAGCAATACGCGTCTTTGCCGCGGATTGCTCTGCCCACTTTCTCGGGTAAACAAGAGGAATGGGAGAGCTTCAAGCAGCGCTTTTCTTCGCTTGTCGTCTCGAAGGCCACCGTCCCGCCGAAAGCAAAATTGCAGCACTTGCTCAATGCTGTGCAGGGCGCGGCTGCGCAACGTCTGAAGGGTATCGAACTTACAGACGCAATCTTCGAGGTCGCATGGATAAAGCTTACTCGTCGCTATGATAATCCACGCATACGTTTGCTGAACGGTATCGAGAGCTTAATTCAGCTTCCAGCTGTTAAAGCTCGCAATGTTGCGGATCTTAACGAAACAATGGATCGTGCGGAGGAATCGGTTCGCGCGCTAATAGATCTCGGTTGCCCGATCGAGCAAACAAATTATTTTGTTGTTCATTGCGTCATTCGTAAGCTCGACTTAACGTCTCGCGAGGTGTGGGAGGTTTCGCAGGAACGGACGGTTGGCTTTCCTTCATACGCAGATTTAACCACTTTTCTGGAGCGCCGAATTCACGCGCTCGAGTAGGCTCACGTCGGCCCGCAGTCGAGCGACGCCGGAAAAGCTAACTCGGCATCAAAACAAAGCGGCGATCGTTCTAAACGCGTCGCGGAGAACGCTGCGCAAACGGACGAGTCCGCCGGAACAACAAAGAGCTGCGTAGCTTGCAAAGGCAATCACTACGTAAATAGGTGCCAAGATTTCAAATCCATGCCAGTATCGCAGCGCTGGGATTTATGCAAACGCGAGAGGCTTTGCGTAAATTGCCTGAGAGCGTCACATTTTGTGGAAAAATGCCCCTCTCCCAATCGTTGTGTGACTTGCGATGCAAAGCACCACTCGAAGTTGCACTTCGAGAGAAAAGCAAAGCCGCGCAACGAGGAGGTTTCCTCGCGCGCTAGCGCCCCTCGCAAGGATGACAATCCTTCGGACGAGACTGCCGGCCGTCCTGTTGCTGCGCACAATGCATTAGTTGGTCGCACAATTCTTCTTGCGACCGCTGAACTAATCGCGATTGGCCCCAACGACAAGCGGCTGCGCATTCGCGCTCTTGTTGATCCTGGGGCCGAGCGCTCCTTCATTACGCATCACGTGATCTCAGAGCTGGGACTTCCTTGTAGTTCCGTGAATATCAAGGTCGTCGGAGTAGGCGGGAGCGCTTCTTCTACAGCGCACCGCGAAGCTGAACTCAAGGTGGCACCCAGAGGCGAATCCAACTTAACGATCTCGGTCTCGGCGTTAGTGTTGCCTAAGCTCTCTCAGCCTCTGCCTTACAAGCATGCGGTTACCTCGGAATTGCCTCATATCCGAGGGCTCAAGTTAGCCGACCCACAGTTCTTCGAGTCTCGACAGATAGACTGCATCCTCGGTGCCGACGTCTATCCGTCGGTCATTCAAGATGGGACAAAACGCGGTCCAGCGGGCGCCCCTTTAGCTCAAAACTCCGCTTTCGGATGGCTGCTCACGGGCCCCCTGGCCAGCGTTGACACAAGCAACACGATGCACGTTCGCGCGTTTCACATTCACACTGATAATCTACTTGCAGTAGAATTACAGAAGTTTTGGGAAATCGAGGAGACGCCACGCAAATCCTTGCTCACGAGCGACGAGAGCAAATGCGAGGAGTCGTTTCATCAGACTTCTTTTCGCAATGCCGACGGCCGTTTCGTGGTTAAGCTGCCTTTCCAAAGCACGCCAAAGTTTTCCGCCTCTCGAGATATCGCCGCTGCTTGCTTCATTCGCTCCGAGAAGCGCAGACATCGCGATAGCGATCTCGCTGAGTCTTATGGTAGCTTCATGCAGGACTACATAGACCAGCGTCACATGGAACCCGTGCCATCTGACGAGCTCAGCAGGCCATCCTTTTATTTGCCTCATCATGCAGTGAGACGGCCCGAGAATACAAGTAAGGTGCGCGTAGTCTTCAACGCGTCGCAAAAGGACTCAAACGGCGTCTCGCTCAACGACTTGCTGCTGGCAGGTCCCAAGCTTCAAGCGGATATCGCTCAAGTGCTGACGCTGTGGAGATTTTTTAAGTTTGTATTTACAACGGATAAAGTCCAAATGTTTCGACAGATCCTTGTACACCCGGACGACAGGGACTGGCAACGAGTGCTCTGGCGTTCCTCCACCGCCGAGCCCATCACGGATTATCGGTGCACGACTATCACCTACGGGACGGCCTCTGCGCCTTACTTGGCGCTCAAGGTCATGCAAACTCTCGCCACGGACGGTGCCGAGACTCACCCACACGCCGCTGAGACGCTACGCCGTCGACTCTACGTCGACGACCTATTTGCTGGAGCAGACACGCTGGACCAGGCGCGCGAGCGGCGTGACGAGACGATTCAGCTGCTGTCATCCGCCGGCATGGCGCTAGGCAAATGGGCAAGCAACAACTCCTTCATCCTTGAGGGGCTTGAAGCAATGGCGGCTAAGGCCATTAACCTCAAGCAGGACGACGCCGTGTCAATACTGGGCTTGCAGTGGCTGCCCAACTCGGACTCCTTCACCTTCAAACCAAAGGGGATGCTCGTCGGTCATGAAATCACCAAGCGCGTCGTGCTGACAGAGATTGCGCGACTCTTCGACCCTCTTGGCTGGATAGCTCCGATAATCGTAAGTGCAAAGATTGTTTTACAGGATATTTGGCTCCTCAGCCTCGAGTGGGATGAGCTGCTGCCCGACGACCTCCAGTCACGCTGGACGCGCTTTCGGAGTGAGATGCAACAGATCTCGCTCATCAGCCTCCCGCGGTGGCTGGGTGGCCTCGAGGCCGAGGAATGGCACCTGCATGGATTCGCTGACGCCTCAAAGCGAGCTTATGCAGCAGCGATTTATGCGGTGTACCCGAATTGCTCTGCTCAGCTCCTCTTTGCAAAAACAAAGTTGGCGCCCACCAAAGTTCAGTCGCTGCCTCGACTCGAACTGTGCGGCGCAGTGCTGGCCGTACGGTTGGCCAAGCACGTGTCGGACGCTTCACCAATCAAGCCGAGTCGTATCCACCTTTGGTCAGACTCACGCGTGGTGCTGGACTGGCTGAAGACTCATCCGGCCCACTGGCCAACCTTCGTCGCCAATAGAACGAGCGAAATTCTCTCCGAGTTGCCAGCAGCTACGTGGAGGCGCGTCAAATCCTTCGACAACTCCGCAGATTGCGCCATCCGAGGCCTCGCGCCTTCGGCGCTTGCTCAATTTTCTCTTTGGTGGCACGGACCCGTGTGGCTCACGCAGGAGCAAGAGAAGTAGCCTACTAAAGCTACAGACGCCACTCCCAACGACCAGCCGCAGGTCGAAGACCCTCACCAGCGGACCCTTCATGGCGGGGTCCAACTGATGCTGCCGCACTTGCGTCGTTCTGTTTGGATTTTACGGGGCCAGCGCCTAGCAGTCGGAGTACTCCACTGCTGTGCTAAGTGCACGCGCCATGCTGCACGGAGCCCTAGCCAACTCATGGGCCAACTGCCGACTGCACGAGTCTCCCCGTCTCGTCTGTTCTCGCACACGGGTGTGGACTTCGCTGGACCGATTCCCGTCCTGTTTTCAAGAGGACGAGGCGCCAAAACAACGAAAGGCTACATCGCCGTCTTTATTTGCACTGTCACGCGGGCAGTTCACCTCGAGGTAGCCTCTGACCTTTCAACCCATGCTTTTCTTGCAGCCTACTTTCGTTTCACTGCACGCCGTGGAGTTTGCGCTGTGCTGTACTCGGACAACGCCACGAACTTCAATGGCGCAGCTTCCGAGCTTCAGCGCATGCTGGCCAGCTTTTCATTTGCTTCAAACATCTCCAAGAAGCTGGCAGCTCAAGGGACGGACTGGTCCTTGATCCCCCCACGAGCTCCTCATTTTGGTGGGCTTTGGGAAGCCGCCGTCCGAAGTGCAAAGCATCACCTCAAGCGCGTGATTTGCGAGACCAGGCTCACCTTCGAGGAACTGTCGACGTTGTGCGCCAAAATTAAGGCCTGCCTTAACTCAAGGCCCCTGTGCGCCTTGAGCAATGAAGTTACGGGCGAGCTCGCCCTCACTCCGGCACATTTCCTGGTCGGCTCTGCGCTGCTCTCTCACCCTGAGCCATATGACGAAGCGCAGAGGCCAATGTCACCTTCCAACCGCTGGAAGCTACTTGTCAACCTTCGTAACTCATTTTGGTCAAGCTGGAGAAAGGAGGTCCTGCTTCAGCATCTCAAGCGATGCAAGTGGCAGACTCCTCGAACGAATTTACAAGAAGGAGACGTCGTTCTCGTGCGTGATGAACTCGCGCCCCCAGCCACCTGGCCCTTGGGTGTGGTAATTGCCACGCAGGCCGGGGCGGATAACCTTGTGCGCGTAGCCACGGTGAAGACGGCTGCCTCGACGCTTCCGCGACCAATTGTGAAGCTTGTTAAACTGTTAACTCAACCCGAACTCGAGAAGTGCTATTCCGAGCAATCAAAATAAACTCAGTGCTAATCTATAGTTTATTCACTTACTAACCCATTAATTAATTTGAGTTTATGTTTGTTTGTTTTTTTTTCAATTGCAAAATTTGTAATTCCTTCATGTTCATGTCAGCTCGTGGCCAGGGTAAGCTACTAACACTATTGTATAGCTGCGCTGGCTATCACCGTAGCAGTAGGTTTAGCTCTATCCGCTTACAGGCTTTTGTTCTATCTCGCTTTTTTTCAATTCATTTTGACGCTGTTGCCTCAAGGTGGGCGGTATGTTCGCGTATGTGTGTATACGCTTATTGAGAGTGTGAAAGAGAGAGACGAAGGCCTCGTGGCATCGCAACGCAGAGGGTCTCTCCCAAAAGGGCCCCCCTACCTTAATTGTCGCCACGTTGTCCAGTCTCTCTAGACAAACCGCGAGCGAGTCAGTTGCAAAAAGAGCGTTAAAACGAGCGTGACTTAAGTACTCGTCTGCTTCGATCGGCATGTTTTTAGTCTTTATCGCACTGACCAAGCGACGCACGCTGGCCAAGAAGAGCCTTTTTCTATCTTCGTCGTCTAAGCACAGTCCATATTCACAATTAATTTAATTATTAGCGTCATTTTTCCGGTCTTCTTTTCTGATTCGCCTTCATCTTCATATTTGCTGTAAAGAAAAAATACAAGTTGTTTCCCATCATCGAAGAGTTCGTGTTGAGCGTTTTATTTTCCCCTACTCTCTACAGGCGTTTGTCAACGATAACGGGTACGTTTCCCCCCCGCGACCTTGATAACGGTCCATCGCGACCTAGAGGCTCGAAACGAATCAACAATAATCATTGAGGCTTGAGCACTTTTGCACGAAAGAGAGAGCCCGAGTGTGCCTACCGCGTCGATGATATATTATATAGTCATACGCTAGTTCTGGGAGTCAGCTTGGGCGCGCGCGGATATAGCTTAAAGGTTTATTGTAAAAAAACAATGTTGCCATTACTTTTTTCAATTTTCGTTTTTTGGAAGTTTTAAAGGAAGGTTAACACTTCATGTTTACGTGGTGTACCTTCCAAAAATGTTTTACTTTCATTCCTCACCAACGCTCTGAAAATTGAAAAATTTAAATTTTTCAGATCTTAGGGATTTTTTTGCTCGAAAACTGTGGGGTTTAGGTATATACATCTCGATTGGTTTTTTGTTCAGAATGACTCCAAGAAACTGAATATATTTTTTTAGATCGAAAAAATCACTTTTACTAATTTGTTCAAAAAAAGTTAGTTTAAACAAATTTTAACAGGTTGCGCAGTGGCAACATGAAGTTTCTTAATCTGTGAGATCTAATGAACATATTTATGCAAAAAAATTTCTTTACTATTGATGTAGCACGACGCCGCCAATTTTGACCCGTCTATTAAGTATAAATAATGTTTAATAATTTTATATCTATCATCATTGTAAATAATTTTATTATATTTTATGTATTAATGGTGTTGTAATGTGAAAAGCATTAATCAATCATTATCAAATTATCTATTTGTACACTTCAGACAATGGTGTGTACATTATTAATTGTTAAACACTTTAGTATCGAAAGTTGTTAGTACATAAATAACTAGATCTTTTTAATTATCTTCTGTTATATTTTTACCAAAAGGTTATAAGGATAAAAATAATAAATAGTCGTGAAACTTTTCTTATGAGCTTTGACAAAATTTTCCACAAATAATGCTTTCAACATAGTTTAATATAACACTTACAGTTATCATAGCTCGAACATGTACATACGTTTGTTCAGTATTGTCTATTTATAAAACAACAATATATAAAAGTGCCAACTTTTTATTCAATTTTTTGCTTATATCTTCGCTTCCATTGGTCTTAGAGAAGATTTTCGATCGCCAATAGCTTTGTTATAAAATTTCCCATGAGACACTTTTGCAAATCTAGTATTTATTATAAATAACGCCTTAATGGCAAAAAAGTGTGAAAAGAAACTGTTTATACTGAAAAACTCTCGATCGGCGTAAAAAAAACTGCCATGTTAATTTGAATATAACCGTGAAAAATATAGATATTAAGTTGTACAACAAACAGGTATTTGTAAAATTGCAAAATAATTGTGAATTTTTTTGTTCATTAGTTCATCAAAGTGGAACTTTAAAGCGTTATTACAATCTTCTCGGTCGGTATATCGACATTTTCCTTTGGTAAAAACATTGGTTATAATGTTAGTAATAATAAAAAATAAAAAAAATTGATTTTTTCGAATTTCGACGTTTTGCGACTAAAAATTTTATTTTGCAACTTGAATAATTGCAACTATGTCAGTCGATTTTGCATACTTTTTTTCCCAATATAAATATTGCATTTGTCATATAAAGACACGAATTAAAGAAAAAAAAAATTTTTTTTGAACTTATTTTTAATTTTTCTCCCAAACCTCCTTAATATCTATATTTTTCACGGTTATGTTTAAATTGACATAATAGTTTTTCTTTACGTCGATCGAAAGTTTTTCGGTACAAATAGTGTTTTGCCGCACTTTCTTGCCATTAAAGTGTTATTAACAATAAATAATGGATTTGCAAAAGTGTCTCATGGGAAATTTTATAACAAAGATATTGGCGATCGAAAATTTTCTTCAAGTCCAATAGAGGCGGGGATATTAGCAAAAAACTAAATAAAAAACTGGCATTTTTTTTTACAAATTTTTAAATAAATAAATAGAGTCAACTTTTGATTTGGACAAAACTATTTTTCTCGTATTTCAGGAAAAACTCTGTAGGGCAATGACCAATTTTTTAAATAGCATTTTTTTTCTCTGTGCAGTGGACAAATACTCCAGTACCTTTAAATGTATGTGTAAAAAATTTACGATACTGAAAAAATTACAGTATTCATAACCATATTTATAAAAATTCAGTGTAAGCAATAACACTTTATTTTATTTTGTCTTCGTAACATTATAGAATACATTGATAAAATTGGAAATTTTCATCATTGCAATAATTTAAGTTAATAGAATTATGAATTTACTGGATAACAAAAAACCAGATTTTTTTATCGTGGAAGGGTGAGTTATAAAAACTTTTAAATTCTATAGTCGAAAGTACAAATATTTTTATTTTTCTTTACAGGAAGGTGACTATAATCAGCTGATGATATTGTTGTCTAAGATTTGCAAATTCTTAAGGTTCAAAAAATTATGAGTTAATACACAAGAACAAGTTATACAGTTGTTATAAATGCAATGTGGTGATGAAACAATACGAAAATTTCAAGAAACGTGAAAAAAAACGAAAGATAAATGATATTTTTCAGTGTAAAAAATGTCGATTGCAATTCAAACGCATATCTTATGTCCAGAAATATTTATTAAAATATGTAATCCAAAATTAAAAACGCAAACGCTCCCCTTGCGATAACGCATATTCAAAACTGGATAGTTAAAAGAGGCATATAAAAAAACATCTTCAATAATTATATCCAATGGAACATAAAAAATATAATTCTGATTCGCCTTCATCTTTATATTTGCTGTAAAGAAAAAATACAAGTTGTTTCCTATCATCGAAGAGTTCGTGTTGAGCGTTTTATTTTCCCCCACTCAAATCTTCGATAACGGAGCTGTGCAGCTAGCCGGGACAGCAGGGCTTCCTGGTGGCATCGCAACGAGCAGCTTCTGTTGTCTACTCGTCTCATTGGCTTCACTACNAAATCCTTCGCATTGCTGGTATGAAGTTTTCATTTCCATCAACTTTTGTCACATCAATTTCAACAATTTTTTGAGAACATTTATTTTTTATAGAATATTATATGTGTCAGAAGTTTTAGTAGTAAAGTAAG